TCATTGAATGCGTTTCGAGAAGGCATTTTCGCTTCTACTGGCATCATATCTGCATAATGTCGCAAAGCAACTTAAACCAAATTGTTGTTGCTCATTGAATCCAAATTGCATACTTTCTCATTAATGGAGTGATTAACGTTATACCGCACTTTCTCAAAGCTCAAAGAAATAGCTTAGAAATCCATTGTGTCTTTTCAGATCGCCCTCGTAATAGAGTGCGTTCCACAAGCGATGAAGGAGATGCTTCACCTGCTGGAGAAAGCGGATGGACGACTGCTGGAGGTGGTAAACACGCTTGGGGAAATCATAACAAGGATGCTGGACAACATAATGTTTGGAATGGTCAAGGTAATTTATTGGACAAAAAAGCACTATAACACCGAATAATGCGGATTCTATGTCTCTATAAGTATTTGAACTCTTCCAACTTCTAGGTGCCAACAGCGCTTCGACTGGCGCTGGGTCGGTGGAAAGAGAGAGAACGGAGCGCAAAAGTGAAAGTGGAGCTATGCCTGAATGGATGGACGACGGGGAAGACCAGGAAAGGAAGTCAGTGGAGGACACTCAATCATTGTTGAAAAGTAGAATCGAAAGCAGCACGAATACCTGCTCAACAACTATAATGTTGTGATTAGGTAGCGAGCTACTTCCACAGCAACTGTAACGTACAGATTGCTTTTCAAAGAGTCTAAGAAAAAACGCGTTGCATTCGTTTTGGAGTATTTTACGGACAGTAACTTACACCTGTACATGAAGTCCGCTCCAACGCAATGAATGCATTTTTTATTGTTTCTTACTAAGCTTTAAGAGATTCCATTTTCGGTATATATAATCAAAAAATTGCCTGTTGTATCGCAATAATTGCAGCGAATCGAGTGATGACACGACTAGCGCCACAGGCTCGTTCGACGAGCATGGTCGTTTCCGAAAGAAGGTTGGTTGTTTTATAAGAAGTATTGACTTTGTTCTAGATGTCGTGTTTATTTGCTGAAGTGCGAATTTGTACTGTACAATTCAAAGATTCCAGCTATGGACATTGCTCA